TTCCCTCGGGGAATTCAGGATAGGGAAAATTTAAAAAATTTTACCCCTTTGCAATTTGTCAATGTAAAATTTTGGTTTTTTTTATTTTTTTCTAATCCCAAAAAATTTTTGGAAATACAATTTTCCTTTTGTTTTTTATATTGTCTGTTTGTATAAAAAATTAAAAAAAATATTATTTGCTTTTTTATTAACCTTTGAAAGTTTGCAAAAACCCCCAAAATTTATACTCCCTTAACCCTTTCGGGGCCAAGGCCAAAATCTGAAGTCACGCCCCATTGCCAAAAAATTTTGAAAAAAAAAAAAAAAATTTTTTTAAAAAAAATTAAAGAGCAATTTTTTGTGAAGGTAAAAAAACAAAAAAAAATAGAATCGGATCATTTACTTAAATTTACAGTGCGAGAGGTTTGTAGAAAATGAGGGTGGGGGGCAACATCGACGTTTCCCACCTAGGGTATTATATTTTTTGTTGTTTTAGTTGTTTTTTTTTTTCTTTTCCTTTTTTTTTCTATTCCTACTAATTTTTGGGGGCTGAGAGCCCAATCCCTGTATAAAAATTGATATATATAAAAACTCATGTAGAACACATAACCGCCTAAAGTTTTTAAATCAAATTATTTTTTACCACTTTTTGTTTATTACAAAAAAACAGCAAAACTTATTTTTAAAATTTATTTAATTTTCAAATCATATATTTACATATTTAAAATCACGGACGGGTTTTTAGAAGGGCGGGAGCTTGTGGAACCCCTTAAACAAGGCCCATGCACAGGGGCCCCTTAAAATTCCTCCCAAAAAAACCGAGTGTCGGGCTCTTTGTTGGGGTCGTTTTTTTTTGTGCACAGACAATGCATCTCTTTGGAAATTTCTTTTAAAATTTTAAAGGGAAGCTGAAATTATGAAATGATCCCCTTCTACCCTCAAACGCTTGGGTATATTGTGATAAATTTTCCGAGGACCATTTGTATTGCGGTGTTTTTTACCTGGTAAAATTTTGGACCCCCGCAAAAACGATCACCCCCGAATGCGCCCAAATTTTATGTAAGTGTTTTATGTAAGTGCGTTTGCCCTGGAAAATTTTTGGGGGGGTCTGAAATGGACAAATCTACTTCACAATTTTTCCCTTTTGGGAAAAATTCGGTCAGTACTGGCACCTTAAAATACTTCTGGAGTGAAAAAAAAAATCGTTAACCGGGGGGGCCCCTGTACTTCATTATGGTTGGCTGCAACAGAAAACAAAATTTACCCCTACGGGGGTTTTGTTTTCCAAACTTTTTTTGGTACCATATAAGCATTCACATTTTAAATTCCAAGAGAGGAAGAAAAGTTTCATGTCCCCCTTGTAACTCTTCCGGGAAAACAGTCAACAAAACCAAACTGATGTCAACTTGTCAACCCCAAACGCATGTTTTGTGTAAAAAAATTTAAATGTCACTGGTTTTGAATATTCATTATCACTCGAAAACTTTGCCACTTTTTCTTGCATTTCATTTTCGGGGAATGGGTTTTAACAAAGGAAAATCTCGTTTGTCATGCCCACCGTAAAGCCCTGATGTCATTGGCGTAAACACCCGGGAAGTCCTCAACCCCGAACACCTGGTTTAGCTGGGCAAATGTTTTTGATTAGAAAAAGCACGTGGCCCCAAAACATCTGTCTTTTTCACTGCATGAAAAACATGAGTAATGGGGGTTGTGTAAACCCGTTATCGGTATATTTAAGTTGGCCCTTTCCAAGATAAGGTGCCCCCAAGTTTCTAAATACCTCCCTATAACCCCAATTTAAAATTTAGTATCTTTTAATGTTTTACTTCCCCTGTATACAGCAAAATCCCAAAACCAGGGCCCCTTTTCAAAAATCACAGGGGTCAAAAAAATTTTTACCAAAGCGGGTTCCCCTTGGGTCGGTATATACTCTTGAATGGGCAGTCTAACCTTTTTTTTTAAAAAATCAAAGACTCGTCAAATTTTCAAAAATTCTTGAATGGATTTAAAAATATTCCTGAACTTTTGTTTTAGAAACATGAAAAACTTTCAATCTTGCATAACCCGTCACTTCCCGTCGGGGTTTGGGTTTTTTCAGAGAAATGAACAAAGTAACAAAAGATAAACCTGTTCAATGGGATTATTTTCTGAAGGATGGGGGACAAATTAAACCCATCGTGGACCCGTAGCCCTTTTTTATTAAGTTATGCCGGGGAGGCATAAGCATTATTGTTGCAAAAAGCAAAAATTTCCCGCCCAAAAAAATCGTCTCTTTCCACCCTTTTAGTCCCTTTACTGGGTGTTTAAAATCCCTATTTTCCCGGGGTAACCCGAAAATAAATTATTTCTTTCCCTGGGCAATAATTTCCATCAAAAGGGTGGTCAAAGAAAATTCAAAGGGAAATTTCCCGTTTTATTGGGCCCTGGTTTTTCCCAAAGGGGGCAGGTAGGTTTGAAATCCACTTTGAAGTCCCTCAAAGTGGTGAGGGCTGGGGAAAAAAATTGGGGGTTTTGCGCCAATCCCAGTACTTTTTTCTGGTGGGAATGGACATCATAGGCTGGTTTTTCCGGGGGGTTGTGGGGGCCCGGGGGGTAAAGCTCCGCTTTGTCCTTGAACTACAGCCCGCAGCGTGGGGGCCCCGCGTGGACAGCAGTACGCATGGCGGTGCCACTAAAACCACCAGCCCCACAAAAACCATCCACTGATGGGCTGGGCCCATCCATCCAAGTGTAAACCACATCATCCCCCACTATCCCCTAAACCCAAAAGGTGTAGGGCCCCGGGATTTTACTCCGGGGTGTAAATCCGTCCCCTGGGCACACATAGGGACAATTCCCAGCGCATGCGGTGGGGGAACATACCCACGCTTCACTGGTGAATTGTTTCCCCACTAAACACTAAATCGAAGATCGTCAGCCAATAAAATCACAAAACCCCCTAGAATTTATCGTCATTACTGAAGTCAGGGGGCCAGGCCAGGGGAAAAAATTTAGTTTTTTCTTACGTTTAGGGAAAACCCCCCCCGGATCCAGTGCCCCCCACCGAGCAGAAGGTCAGGATTTGTCGGGGTTTTTCCGCACTATTATCGATATCCTGGTCAAAATTTTTTCCGGGCACAAATTTTCAAAACCGTAGAAAATTTGTCTTCATTTCCCCCTTTCCCTCATGTCAGAACTATCAGACGGGGAAAAGGAGAGGGCCCAAATTTTTCCGGGGGGTGAAGCTGAAATTCGACTAGGCATGGGAACAAAGGGGGACTGAGCCGCTTCCACAAAGCTATGCAGGCCCCCTAGATTTTTTTTTATGGCCGGACACCCACGGGGCAGACCCATTCTCTCCTTGTAGGCCTATGAGGGCTTCGCGCTAAAAATTTTTACGGGGGCTAGAATTTTGGGGTAATCTACGGGTTTTGGGCCCCTCACCGAAACCCGGGCCCTTTATCTTTCGGGCGGAAAACCCGAAGGGTTTTAAAAGGGCAGCCCCCTAATAAATTTTGGGGTTTTAAATGACTTTGCAATTGCTTGGGAAAATAACCCTTTTAAATTTCCCTTTATATGGGCTCAATTTACCTTATTGAGGTTTCTCTACCCCCTTAGGGTTCAGTTTTAATTTCTAAATTTATGGCCATTTGCCCCTGAAGGGGGTTTAAACCCCAAAAGCGATATTTACAGAGCGATTTTACCCACTTAAGCCCCATTTTTTTCTCATTCCACTGTTTCCCGTTTTTCAAAATATTTCGCTAGTATTCTTTTTGTTCTGTGAATAGTACAAGGAACCTCCCATTTACCTATTTCAACTACCCAATAAAGGGGTCAGACATTTTTTTAAATTTTGGGCCAAATTTTACACGATTTCAAAGACCCGTTTCAAAATTTGGGTCCAGAATAAACAATACAGACATTTCCCGGGACTAAAAAAATGTTTTTTTCTGTTTTGTTGTCAGTCCCCCAGACCCCCCATTTTTGCTTTCCTTTTTTTATTTTTATTCGCAAAAAAAGATAGATTTACTGTTATGTAACTACGCATTATTGTAATAAAAAGTAAAAAAATAAAAACAAACCCTTTTTACTGCGTTTTTAGGGGCCCCCCAGTTGGACAAGCGTTGGGAAAAATCCAACATTTTTTGCTACTCTGTGGTCAAATTTCCCCGGTTTTTTTCCCTCATGAATCAGGGCAAAACCTATTATTTCTGTTAAAATATCTTCCAACTATCAAAAGAGATCAAAAAAGAGAAAAACAACCATTAAAACCAACAAAAAAAACACCACAAAGTCGCTGTTTTAAAACCCCAAAAAAAAAACGAAAAAGCAGGTTTTTTTTTCATTATGCACTCGGCCCGCAAATTTTTTTTTTATAGTGCAAAACTTACCACACAGACCCATTCCCCTCATATGAGGCCCCAAATTTTCCGGGCACGCTTATCTGAGTGAGCTGAGCTCATGGGGACTGGGCAGGCTCCAAAGCCACCTTATCTTTTATGGACAAAAAAAATGGTTTTATGTGTTTTAAAAACAACAAGAAGCATTTTTTTTATTCTTGGAAAACCCTATAAGGCTAAAAAATGAGCAGGGTTTTAATAAAAAGGGGAAGAAATTGGAATAAATTTTTGCAGCAAATAGCGGCAATTTTGGGGTACGACCCCCGAAATTTGAAAATTTTCCCGCCCAAAATTTGTGCCGGGGTTATGATGGAACTGAATTACTGACCGCCCGGGTTAGGAGGCAGGGCCTGTACAGGAATATTTATTAAAGACCCCAAAGGAAAAATCCAAATCCCAAAAAAACCACTCAATTCCGGTTTCCCAAAAAAAATTTGCTTTCCCGATTTAAGATTAAGGTGCTGACATTTAGTAATAGTTAAAAGACCCATTTATTATGCAACTTAAACCCAGTACCAGATTATGAAATTTCTTGTTGCTTCGTTTGTCAAATGTTATCTTCAGAACTTTTCAATTATTTCACCATTTTGAGAGTACACTAGAACATAAAGCTTTGTAAGTTATGGGAATGTTCATGTTTACCTGTGAAGAAGAATCAGCATTGGACATTCCTTCATCATCTGCAAACTCATCACTATCATCATGTTGGCCACCAGAATCATCACTGTGCAAGGAATCAGCATCCTCATACAGTGGATCTCCAAGTCGGTAACCTGCGAAATGAAAAGTCGTTTGGAGAAAACACTAGCAGTACTTAAACAGTATATCATTATGAGTTCAGGTACAAAGCTACAGAACTCAATATCGAACTTCTTGGTCCAGAAGGTGTAAACGTGCCTTTACCGAATGAGAAGTTTTCCCAGGGATTATGTAAATTAGATAGTCCATTCAGACTCAAAAATAACTTATAAATACACTTACAAATAACTTACATAATTGGCGTGTTGGGTCGGCTAGTCGATTTGAGGTGCAAGATTTTGTAGAACATGTGAACTTAATCCAACCTGCTTGAGCTCTTATTGGTAATAGACAAATTTTTTAAACTCGTACTTCCATTTCTCAAGTCTTATCTAAATAAATTTATGAGTTAGTCAGAATAACCACTGGATATTTATAAAATTTTTTAGAAAATGTTAGTACATCCGGACCACCATGGTGTAGAATTTTGAAAGCTAATCGCTACAGAATATATCTGTGTGTAATGTTCTTGCAACAGTAAGACTATTGTCAAAGTCATCTTTCGGGTCGCAAATGTAGGAAGATCTCATAGATTTCGGTCATAAAATATGATAAGGTATACCAACCCACCTATGCTTTAATTCAAAATAAACTAAATACTGATAAAATGCTGCCTTTTCTATGATAAGCTATAGAAAGAAATTAAAGCTGACATGACTCAAGCACCCTAGTAACTTTCACAAGTGCATACAGGATTACTTAGTGATAAAATTTAGAAACTAATGGTAAGGAAGTGGGTGTTGGAGTGAGCACTGGTGATGAGTGAGTTTCCCCAAGGATCAGTGCTTGGAACCCTGCTGTTCCTGATATATGTACTACCTATAAATAACCTGTCAGAGAAAGCCAAATCTTAACCATCACTATTTGCCAATGATGTAAAATCAGCAAGGATAAATGGAGAAGACAGGGAGAAACTTCTAAATTTTCTGTCTGCAAACATGGTCAAGAATGTGACTACTTGTAAGTTTTGTTTGTTCCATACTGTACTGGTACACAGGTTACTCAAACATAATCCAAATTAGTATATAACTGGATCAAATCACAATGCTGTGGCCTGGTCTGCTTCACTTGATCAAGCATAGAGAAACTATTACACAAATAGCCCATACATAGAAGAATAAACTTATGATAACATTTCGGTCTGACTTGAACCATTAACTAGTCACAGAAATGCATTCCAGTCATGGTACTGTGCCTTTTTATTCTTTAAGGAAACTATTTTTATTTTAATCTGGAGTAAAGCAATAAATCCCGAGGGGTCACATAGCACCTGGATAATAGGAGGAATTCAGGTTCAACTGAAGAGGATAGGACCATTTCCTTGGATCAAGAGCCCCTTACTTACATTAGGGGACCTTTCTTGAAAGTAAAGAAACCAAGATTAAATCCAAAAGTCTGAGACAAGATTGGTAATGGAACCAAGATGGATGAACTACGACCAGACTTAAGAGATGAGAGAGAGTAGGACGAGATAATATGATCATAACATAAAATACTCAAAAGACCCAAGTAAGTGGAAATAGGCAGGTTGCAATGTGAAAAGGAGGAGTCGGGGAATAAGTGTATAAAAGTGACTGGAGTAATTGCTAAAACCAGTAAATGTGAGTTACAAGGTAGAAGCCAGGAACTATGAATCGGCACTGCAAACACAACTAGAATTGTCTTCATCTGAATGGAGGTCCTTCAGAGTAAAAATATAATTTCTATATCCTTCTTCATTAAAGAAGTTGTTCAACATGGCAAAATACATGATTGCATATTAGGAAATCAGGAATTTCAAATGCATTCAACCTTTGGGAAGTGGTGTAATTACCTATTAGTAATTACAGCAATAATTTTAAATTTATTATACAATTTTTACTTTAAGGTTACAAATGGTTCTATCACACTTTGTGAAGAAATATATTTTTACTGACTTTTCTCCACTTTTTTCTTAGTTTACAATTATGACCACTTGCTCTCCTTGTAGATAAAGTAAAATATCCTCTTTACTTTGTTATCATCCTTATATGGCCTTTAATTTATACTTATCTCATTTTCTTTTTGTTTTAACTGCTTTACAATACATGTTTTTTGGTGAAGAACACTGCCGCTCAACAGGGTCGAACATTTATTGTAAACACATTTTAAGCACGTCCACAATCATATACTATGTGACAACTTCTTTTGAAATTTGCCAAAATACTGTAGGCATTTCTCAGTTTGCATTTATATGACTTTCCAGTCATCATCTGCTGTCTTTAATTACTTTCAAATCCCATTTTCTGTCTACTGGGCACTAATCAGGTATCCTGCAGAAGGTCAAGGATGAGAGGGATGTGTAGAAAATAACCACAAAGGAAGTAAAGCTGCAGTGCACTTGAAAAACGGAAAAGTAGCAGTATGGATAAGGTGGTAAATAAAATAGCATGTGCAGCAGAAACAGTATGTGATGACTCATGATAGGAATTTTGGGCACCCAGCAAAATAAAACAATGCAGTATTTGAAAACTAGCCAAGGATCGGTATTATCCCATTAAAAAAAAAGTGCATGTATGATTTATTAAGGCATACATTCTGTATTCTTAACACAGTTGGAAATACAGTGTGTGTTAAAATACAGACATACTTGGAAGAATTATATAAAGAGTATCCTGTAGGTAAGGAGCAGGATATTTACAGTCGAATATTTAAATATTGTATTAATACAATGTGTGCCACACCTTACAACAATTTAAAAAAAAAAAAAAAATATTGTAAGCTGCTTTTTTAGATTTCAAGGAAGCATAAGACAAGGCAAAAGAAGTTGAGCTTCTGGGAGTTTCTAAGTACTATGATGTAAGAGTTAGCACTGATGAGTAAATAATTTGTAATTAAAACTGCATTCTAAAAATGATGAATAATGCATTGCACAAGAGGTCTCCCAACTCGCAAAAACTTTACACACATCCACACTTACAAACAAGGAACTTAGCAACCAGTTTAGATTTTTACAACTGTTAAGCCACAGTACAAGCATGCATGAAATAACCATTCTTTGTACAGTATTGTTTTCCACACAAACATTGTAGTGTAGGGTCACATCAACATTTTTGTATCAGTACTCTGAGCTTCAGCACCCTCCATAAAGGCGCTGAAGCATAAAGAAAAGGACTGTTCTACTAACTTGAACATGACATATAAGGTTACAGTTGAAACTCAGTAAGATCTCTCCTGATTTCTGTGAACATGCCATATTTTTCATCTTGTATATTATCACTGGTAATAGGAAAATCAGTCCAAATGTGAAAATAATCCCACAGGCATTTCTCATAATCAATATTTAAAAATAACATTAGTCAGATGACTGAATGAGTATGAATGCTAGGAAATGAATCATAGTATTGAACAAGTGAATTATGGTGATTTTTAATGCTAAATTAATCAACACAAAATGCCATTAACTTTAAGAAATGTAATCTGAAGATAGAGAAATTATAGTTTTATTCCACAATATTATATAATAATTACATGAAATATAACATACCATGCAGTTTTGTAAAACAGATATATTCTAACCTGTAAGTTTTGCTTGTTCCATAATGTACTGGTAAACAGGCTGCTCATAAACATAGTCCAAATTGGAATATAAATGAGTCAAATCATGATGCTGTGGACTATTCTCCTGCTTCCCTGTGTTGCACATACTGCTGGGACTTGGCTGTTTTGTGTTGCTACTACCACCATTATTAGGACTCAACTGCTTACTATTATTTGGGCTTGTTTGTTTAGCAGTACTGCTGCTGCCTGAGCTAGAATTATGATTCTGACTATTGTTGCTCCCTGTGTGGACCAGATGTTGAGAACTACTACTACTCTGTAAAGTGTCACTGCGGTCACTATCAGTGGTGGCAGCGGTAGCATTGGTTGTGTTTGTGCTGGCAACTATGGCTCCACGATGCTTACTGCAATGATGATGACGACGATGGTTGCAGCGACGCCCATCACGATCACTGCCACTTTTGGCAGAAGAGGTTTTATTGGAACTATCAACCACAGGAACCTTTGATTCTTTGTCAACCATTGTTTGGTGAGAGTCAGTTCGTCGAGAATTACTATCCACAGATCCCCTACTTCCTGTTGTTCCAGAGACCAGCCCTGAGTCCACTTGAGAATGAGGAGAGCTGTCTGCTGATCCACGTCCATAGTTAGATCTTGTGTCTTTATCAGTTAAGGTAGATGCTCCACTGTCTTGACCTCGAGGAGAGTCAAAGTTGAAGGGTAAAAACTCATGTTTTGGACTAGGAGGACTTGGACTAGAATCAGATGTAATAAGTCTGGTGTGTGCACTGTTGCTAGATCGTATGTCCATTTTCAACCTTGATTTTCCAGATTCAAGAGAGCGTTGTTTACGATGCATCATTGGTGTGGCAAGGCTTTCTAAGCCAGAGCTATCAGATTTTTGGCGATAATTAAGGTAACCATGGGAACCCAGAGAGTCAGGACTTCCAGCCACTACGTCCAGACCTTTTTGGCGCCGTCGAGGTTGTGGTGTTGATTCAACTGATCGCATAGCACCAATTAAAAACCGCTCGTGCATTCCATCTTCATCATGGCAGCGTGGCCTAGACATAAAACTATAACTGCGAGACAGAGCCATTTCTCTTGGTCGGTCTAGGTTGAGTTCTGAACGCTTTGGATAATTAGAAACATCAAAGCTGCGTTGCTTAGCTATTTGTAAGTGTGAAAAGTCGTGATGGGGAATAACCTTATATTTAGTAGAAGATGGATCACGTGTATCAATATTAGCACGACGCTGAGAAGAAGGAGTTGTTGGTGCACCCTGCTGTGGATGTGTAGGAGATGAATGGGACGAGACAGAGTCAGGAGAACGAGGAGAAACTTGATCTTTTTCTTTACTTCGTCTATCTCCAACACGAATACAAGCTGAGCCACCACGTTTTGAATCTCTCGAACCTGGTCCACCACGGGGTGACTCCAACAGTCGATACCCAGAACTCTCCAGGGATGTACGGCTTTGAGACATCGAGCTGTCACTTGATCTCCCAGATTCCTGTAAATATCATGAAAAAATTTATTATAATGACAAAACTAGTTCCTCAGAAAATTATACAAACTGTACATGTGTGTACAAAAATGGAAAATAGCACATATGAACTGCCTTTGCAAAAACAGTCATCATGAGGAACTTATTTTAAATATTGCTCCTTTATTTGGTGAAAGATGATGTTTAAATTTATAGAAATACTGCATTTTTTACATTTACTGTATACATACATATGGCATAATATACAAATTTATATAGGATATGAAAAAATTACAGTTCACCATTATCCATATGTGTAACACTTATAATCTTTATTAATACAGTTGAACCTCTTATCCAAAATGTTTTTATCAGCTCAGTTCTTCTGAGTTTTTCATGTGCCAAAAACACTTGTGATCAGCCTTTACTGTTTAATTACAGTATCACATAAAATATGCAGAAAAATTAAGACTTGGGGTATTTACTAGTCACTAGTTAGCCAAACAATTAAGTGCCAAGTTAAGAAGGGCACACTAGGGGTTACTGCAATACCATCCATTTGGAGTGCCTCCAGAATTTAAAGCATGGCCAATTTTAAGTGGTCGGTGTATTATACATAATATTCTTTGCCATAATTTTGTAGCATGTAGCCTAGCCCACAAATTTGCATGGTTCCTAATTCAGAGGATTAGATATTATAATTTTTACTGATAGGCAATCCACAATTGTCTTTTATTAGCAAGTTTTTTGAAGTGCCTAGTTTTTGATGGCTTGGCACATGACCCTTAGACTGAAAGGTAACACCAGGATTGTATTGAAAATGTGCTCAATTTCCCATACCCAAATTTCTATTCTTCACTGACATTTTTTATTGTAAAATTTGTTGGTTACGGCAAGCACTCGTGAATTTCTTGAAAGAACAGGCCCCCAAGAATAACAAAATCCCCAATTATTATTATTATTATTCAGATTAGACAGTATTGAGAGAAGTATGGTCTTTGAAACACGGAATTAGCCCAAATTGAAACAAAATATATTTGTAACCATAATTTGTATTTGTTCTAGGTAGTAGGCTGGTAGACAGCAACCACCCACGGAGGTACTACCGTCCTGCCAAGTGAGTGTAAAACGAAAGCCTGTAATTGTTTTACATGATGGTAGGATTGCTGGTGTCCATTTTTCTGTCCCATGAACATGCAAGGTTTCAGGTACGTCTTGCTACTTCTACTTACACTTAGGTCACACTACACATACATGTACAAGCATATACACCTACCATCTGACTTACGACCTGCTCGACTTACGACCACTCGACTTACAACCGTGTTTTTTATGCCAGATTTCTGGGAAATAAACAACTATTTGTGTTGTACACAGTGTTTATCCTAAACCTTACAGTATAAAATACAGTACTAACAACATAAAAAGTAAAGCAAAACATGAAATACCAAAATAAAACAATAAAATAAAGTCATTTCAAAAATGTTTTGTTGATATTCAGCAGTAAAGTTCGACTTACGACCATTTCGACTTACAACCAGTTTCTCGGAACCGAACTCGGTCGTAAGTCGGATGGTAGGTGTATATACATACATACCCCTCTGGGTTTTCTTCTATTTTCTTTATAGTTCTTGTTCTTAGTTTATTTCCTCTTATCTCCATGGGGAAGTGGAACAGAATTCTTCCTTTGTAAGCCATGCGTGTTGTAAGAGGCAACTAAAATGCCGGGAGCAAGGGGCTAGTAACCCCTTCTCCTGTATATATTACTAAATGTAAAAGGAGAAACTTTCGTTTTTCCTTTTGGGCCACCCCGCCTCAGTGGGATACGGCCGGTGTGTTGAAAGAAAGAAAAGAATTTGTATTTGTAGATTCCAGATTTATGGGACCTTTAGAAACTTATTAACCTTTGAATTTCTAGTCCATATGTATATTCCTGGCAGTAAGTAACCTTCCCTTGAGGCCTATACCAATAAAAAAATCAAAGTATTGTACTGTACTAAAAAATTATAATAATGCACCAGAAGCTTAATTATGCTGTTTAACTAAAGTGTATTTTATTATGTTTAATTCTGAATAATTAAAAATATTTATACATTTCATTTTTGTATGGTTACTATTCCCTATCAAGACAGGACGTCCATTTCATTTATACACTAACGTTTTTACATTGTGTAGCTTTGAAGAGTAACTTTAATAGTTGTGCTCTATTCTGGCAAAAATGTTCATAGAAAGAGACAGCATATGATAAAATGCCTTCAAAATATGTTGTGGAATCTGCTGAGCTTGTTCCATGAACACATTCTCCAACAAACACTATCTTAACCCGTAAACGGTCCAAGCAGATCTACGTTCACATGTGTAGTGCTCCAAAAGTAGATCTACGTTTTTTGACATATTTTCAAATATAACAAAAAAAAAAAAAGTAAATTGAAGTTTTTTTTACACATTTTCAAATTTAAAAAAAAAAAAAAAGATCTACTTTTTTTTTACATACTTTCAAATGTTGAAAAAACTTATATATACGTTTGGACCATTTATGGGTTAAACCACAACTCATACTTGCACATGAGCTGGCTAAGTGACAGTTGCACCTCCTACAGGCCATTAGGCTTACTGTAATGCTGCTCTGTTGTGTTTTTATCAAGGAAAGTATTTGTTTGACAATAGGTGTAGATGAGTGGAATGGGTGGGGAAGAACTGGACCTGCCTAGCAAAGTCAGGAGAATTGCCACAGTACTCCTTTATTATTATTTTTATGTTATTTACATGAAAGTACTGGTTTAGCAATAGAGTATAAATGTGGGTGTAAAAAGGATCCACCTGCATGAACAATAAGCCTACTGCAGTACTCTTCTATTCTAAGGTTCTTCAGATTAGGGATTACAGTTACGGATTTTAACCCCCTCAAAAAAATTACTACTCCATACTTTAATAATAAAAAAATGTGCTTTAAGACCTCTTCCTATACTTGTGTACATATTACATTACTATACTTGTGTACATATTACATTACAATTCAACATTCAATTAAAATACTGATGAATTTCAATGATAGCTTCTCAAGAATTTCTAAGAAAGCCAATGAAACTTACGAACAGGTCTAACAGTATGCAAAACAATGATTTTTTTTTTTTCTGAAAGTATACCCCTTAATTTAAATTTGATAGCAACTTGTAGATGAGATAATATAGTTGGTGTCTTTGGTAAGAAATAATTTGTAGAAACATACAAGTTTTTTTCTTAAAGGGTTTTTAGTTAACATAATTTTGCTTGTGCTTTAAAGAGGGGTTTGGGATATTGGCTGTTTGGAGTGACATCTAAAATGTCGTATCTGAGTGCCTCTGCAAAGACAGTGATTATGTATGAATGATGAAATTTTTTTCTTTCTTTTTGGGTCACCCTGCCTCGGTGGGGAGTGGCTGACGTGTTGAAAAAAAAAAAAAATTGGATACAAGAGGTTCTACTGTAGTGCTAAATGAAATGTACTTTTTAATGCAAAAACATGCCTCTTTAACAGAATTGCTATCTGAAAATCTATACAGTAATATGAAGTAAACAGTTGCTGAAAAAAGTATGCACCGGACAGTGGAGGAATGGGCAACACGTGTATTGTGCATAATGTGATGATACTACCTGTGACTCTGTACAGTATTACAGAGAAACACACATCACTAGAAAACACACAGACACAGTTTAAAGAGTAGATATGATTGGGCACTGGTGGCCAAGAATCAGTAGTACCTGTCAATAGGAGTTAAGAGGCAGAGCTAGGAGTGATGACTTGACCTTTGCAAGTGCAGCTAGGTAAGTACAACTAGATAAAAAGAAATATAAATAATGCTACCTGTGAAACAATAGACAACAATGTTAGAGAGACCATCTAGTGATTCTGCCAGCTAGTTACTCTGGCAGACTGTTTGCTCTGCAAAAATGTTAATTAAACAAACAGAAGCAACCATCCAGTGGCAGCACCATGGAAGGGGGGCTTGGAGGAAGTTAGGGCCCCCACAAAATTCCCTCAGTTTTCTCCCATTAAAAGTAGTATTAATAAGGCTGCTTCAAAACAAGTCTCCTAACCCTCCCCCTCCCAACCAGTTATGCCAAAGCCCCCTGTCCCCAGTATAGAAATTCTATGCTGCCCCCTGCAACCATTCTAGTTGCATGCTTTCTAACATTAGTTTTTGCAGAACAAAAATTCAACCAGATTCCGTAATTAGCAGACTCAATAGATGATCTTTCTGCAACACACACATAACACTCCTGTACTTGTGACATTGTACAGTATTGTAGAGAAACATCCAACACTAGACACACAGATGGCTAATTAATATAATGAAAGGCATACCAGTAACCAAAGCAAAAGATGTGAACAGTGACACAATTTCTTGAAAATGAGGCTATGGGAATTTAAGTAAACCTTAAGGATAAATAAAAAGTATGAGCATAATAGTTTTCTGTGGGAGGGGATGGGAAGGGTTTTGCAATAGTGGTGCTGCATAATACTCATTTTCTTCTGCTATCTCATACTATATTCATGGAGCTTGGGATTAACACTATATTAGCACAGTACAGCCTCTCCTCACTTAACGACAGAGTTCTGCTCCTAAGACCATGTTGGTAAATGAATTCATCACTAAGTGAGGAGAGGCTGTACATGTGAACATTTTGGTGCTTAGTGCTATTTTAAATTTTTCAAAGTAATAATACATAAAAAAATTGATTCATGAATTCAGAAAGAACAAAATGTGTTTTGGAAGGATAGGAATGTCTCACTGTGTTATCCAGCTAGAAAACTATGGCAACAACTTGATACAAATATCAAGCCTGACCAAAACAAATTAGGAAAAGAAGTACGAGTGTAAAATATGGGACAAAATATATATTTATCTCAAATAAAATTGTTCACTAGCACAGTGTGAAAAAAGTATGCAAATACTATATAGTAAACCTTTGAGTTAACAAAAATTAAATACGGAAACAACTAGTTTTGCCATGATTGTTATATAACAGACAATTCCAAAACCCAT